AGCTTGCGTCAGTTTGAAGCAATCTCACTTTTACTTGCAGCCTTGGGCCTTTACCCGAGTGAGGGGGTTCACGTGAAGTTGCAGGAATTTGGGCTACCTAACTGGGTGTTTTACAATTACCCCTCAGAGCTCAATACAACCTGAGCATACTGTATGGATTCTCCCCTTCACACTCCTATTTATTGACAATTTCACAAAGTTCCTTGGTACCTGAATATCACAAAGATTTCGAGTTAATTGCTTGGCATTGAGCACAACTTGGGTGAGCTTAAGCTCTTGCTGAAAATATATATTGTGCAAGTTCTAGAACTGGCGAACTGATGGCGTTCTTGCGGTCGATGATGTGTACCCATGGGCCTTCGCCACCAGTCTAAGATTTGGTAGGGACAAGGGCGAAATGTTGACTGGTATAGGTATTCTTTGCGGACATGCGTGAGTGTTCAGATGAGGTTTTTTTGGGCCGTTCTAGCTTACGGTGCCTTATGATTTTACCGCAAATTATTGGACACTATCGTATTGTCTGGCGTGGAAACGTATTGAAAAAAATTAATTAATTCAGACTGCTGAAAACCTGATATCTGACCGAGTGATAACCTATGCTAACAGTTTTGAGGCGCATAATCTAGTGATGACCGACAACCGCTCCCCCACGCATGCCAGCACGGACCTCAAACAAAAGAAAAACAACGGAAGCTTCATGACTGACGACAATCAGTTCCAACACTTAACCACCACTGAACAATTAGCCGGGTCAGACCGAGAAATCTATTTCGCCCATCGTCAACTGGATTATAGCGTCCGAGAGCGCCAGCTCCACATAGATGGGTAAGTGGGCCTGCACCATCTCTTCGCGTTTGATGAGGTAGTACTTAGCCAGCATGCATATCACGTGGATTTCCTGGGCCTCTTGCTCATTTGGCGCGATTTTTTGTCTCACAAAGCGGGTGACTAGCCGGTCATGGAGTAGGCCATACAGCCACTCTTCAGTGGTGCAAGTTGTCCACCATTCGTCAGAGAAGGGCGCGTATAGGGCCTCTAGTCCAGCTTGCCAATCGGAGAGAGGCCTCAAGAAGCGTTCCCATGTGAAGTCGCAGGGGGTGCCGGGCGGGCCGAAAAAGGGGAGGGCAGGTCGGTCGTATTCCTCTTCGCTGGGTTCGGTCCCCCCGGGTCCGATGGCAGTCTCCGGTTTGGTTGTCACAGGTTCGGTGATAGTCTGTGGTTCGGTTGTCCCTTGTTCAGTGACGGTCCGCTGTTCAGTTGCCCCTTGTTCAGTGGCGGTTTGCGGTTCGGTTCTCCAGGGCTGGATGGTCGTCTCTGGTTTGGTTGTCGTGGGTTCAGCGGCAGTCTGTGTTTCGGTTGTCCCATGTTCGGTGACGGTCTCCAGTTCGGTTGTCGCGGGTTCGGTGGCTGACTGCAGTTCTGTCCTCCACTGTGCGATTAAGATGGATATATCGGAAACTGACTCCCAGTCCGAGTCCGGGTCCGGGTCCGGGTCGTCGAATAGTAGCTGGTGGGATTGACCCCACTCGAGGCACCCGTCGGTGAAGCCTCGTGGCGGGCCTAAGGGTGATAGAGAGCCTGGAAATCCAAGCCATTAGCTTTCTCAGGAGCGGAGGTTCGCAAAGGGGAAGGGGCAGTGCGTGGGGGGGGGCGACTCGATGCGGAACACCGGGATGGGGAAGGGAGTAATAAAATCGACAGACTAAACCTTACCAGACATTGTCGCAATCACCACGGCAAAGAAACTCTGAGACGTTCTGAGTGTGATGTGGAGTTAGATTGGTGAAGAAGGATGAGATTTTTCTTTCATCCATCCATCGATGAATGCCTTTGATCATAGCGATTGGGTTTCACCAAACTACACCCTGGCGATCAATTAGATAGGGCTACAAACTTGAATTCTGTGGATTTATTATGGTACCATATCAGACAACCTTAAATATATTTGACTGCGGTTAGGTTCTAGGTCTATTGTGCACTCGCCGAAATGCGTAAGGGTCCGTTGGGATATGATACAACCAATCCCTTAGGTTTTACCACCGTTTCTGCTGTAGAAATAGTCGCCGAACGGAGTGAAACACTTATTTTATATGGGGAAACTGAACGAAGCAGTTATATCCAAACAAACCCATGGTAGACCGAGGAAACGTGAGAGTTGATTGCCGTCAAAAGCTGATATTAATATCTCAGACCAGCCGCACATTACCAAACCATGAATCGACAGTAGCGGAAACGGGGGTGATAACCAGCCAGCCGTACCCCATTGCCTAGCAAGGCGAAAGAAGAAATGCTCTAACTGGCCAAAATATAAGCAGTCCAGTGCTCGATCGGTGTGCAAAACCACTGAGACTACCAAAATTAGGGGGGTTCCTAATGGGGCCCTTTGGCACACAGTACTCCTTTCATCTCTTTCCTTTCAATAGCGCGCTGATCCCTACGGTCTACTAAAACACTGTTCAGATATATTTATTTAAAATACGGGAGCCGCCGGTCTTTGTTTATGTCTAGGGGATCTGAGTTTAGGCTTCCCAAAACTGATCCGGGCCCACCGCAAAAACCGAAAAGCGTGCGATGCCGCTGGGACTTCCTCTCTAGGGTGGGGTCAATAAACGTTAATATTTTTTATTTGTCTAAGGGGAATGGAACATTGTTCCCCACCGCTCTAGAGTGAGGAGAACATTTGAATTTATAGCGCGCACCATCCAATTGTTCGATTTTCACGGCAGATATTGTTGAACGTTGAAAATGACCCCAGCCGAAGCCCCGACGGTGGTTGTTAGCGGAGCCACTAGCTTCAGCGGATGGCGACAATTCTAAAAAACATGATAGTTTAGGCAGGATGTTGCCCGCCGGAACTTTGGTCGCGATTCGTAGTTTTCCATTGATGTATAAGGGCGAGGATTACTGACAACTGACAATAATCTTTCAACAGTAAACTCAATTTTTTAGACTACTAGTTTTTCTCTAGAGAAAAGTATGTATAACACCTTAACTACTCCAGGTAGCGGTTGTTTCCGGATATCCCCGGGCTTAAGCACCGGTCAAGGCCACGGGGAAAAAGGGGAAACAAAGATTCGCTTCCACTGGAGTCGATCTGGAGCCCAATCATTGGTTTGAAAATCTTGGCGGTGTGTTTCTAATTATTTGGGCTATGATGAGTCGAGAGTACCTTAGGATTCTTATTCGTTCTGTGCTGCCAGCAGCGTCCTATATATACACATATTCAAACCACAGAAGAAACAATTCTTCATTTTCGCCAAAGTCTTTTTCGTCTCTTTCCTTCGTTCTCCTTTTCCTTCCACACCACACTGAAACTTAATCCCTTCTTTCAGTTTCGTCTACTTGCAGAGATTTCCTAGTTCCTTCCATCCTGATACCTTCATCTGTCTCGCTAACAGCTCATTGTGACACTCGCTGGTTCCATCTCTTAGTCCCAAACATCCAACACCCCCTAGTGCGATTCCTCAAACCTTCCAAACATCTCCGCTGCAACTAACCTCTTAGTGCAAACAACCATCGCCTCAACTAACATCTTCTACAACACTTTTCAAAACATATCTTCCTTAGGTCAAACATTTATTGTCGTAGTAGGTAATCCGTGGTCGTGGTAGTGGTCATGGTAAGAGTAAGGGATAGGGAACCTTCGCGAATATTCTAACAGTGTTATACCAACTATGCCACGAAACCGTATCGTTTTCATAGGTCCGTGTTTTTTTTGGTACGTTGCACATATCTATCTACATAATATCTGATCCCATTCACAATCACAAATATGGAAACCCGGCTAAACACCAATCCCTAACCATTGAAGAGAAATTCGGTGGGTGTAAAGTAGCACTCAGGGTGTCTTTTAATTTTCAAGAAGGGTTTCCACCGGTTTTCCCATGCTAGATATTTTTCTGGAACTTTCCCTGTTTTCTCTTGAGAGTTGCGGGGAAAATTAGAAGCATAAAATATAAAAGTCTCCGCCTGATGCCTTGAGCATATCAATACCCTTACTATATTGAGGATTGTTTTGAAAAATGGGGAAGAAAATAACACGAAGACAATCTAGAGAACACTAGGAGTCGAGTCGTCCAGGCGTAAGGGAGAGATAATCCACTAGTCTCTCAACGGTCATGTTTGCAGAGTTTCCATATGCACCCAAGTGTTATCATACTAGAACCTGGGAATTCATTGGCAAACCTCGCTTCCCACGGTTCGGGAAGACAAGTTGCGATATACGTTTACGTTATCCCCAAAGGCAGATTCAGTGGCAGTTATCAAGGGGGATATTGCTATTCCTCGGCCGTCAACAGGTGCCAAGCGCAAGGAATTGGGTGTGGGTCTTATGGACACGATGGTACGAGTATATTATGTGGATCACCAGATGGTGGCCAGAGAGAAATGAACAGAAATAATTTCCTGGGCGGTAAGAGTTACCCTACAAGCCCATTCTATCAAATAACAGAACAGACACGGTACTGTAAAGGGTGGCCTTTCACACAATCTAAGGGTTGTGTCCTCAAACTTTCTCTGCCATGCCGTACAAACGGGTGATCACTCACAACACATCTCATGATGGGTGTCATTTGCCAAAGGCCACGTCCCATTCTATGCCCGTGGAGACTCGGTAATTGTGAAGAGCCAACATTATCGGTTCTCGCATTCGGCTAAGTCGGCAGTCAATTGGGGATAGCGGTGCAAGCAGACCCGGGACCGATGATGAATTGGCTACGTCACAATCACTGGATGACTCCTCCCCTCGTCCAGCCAAGTCACCTACAATCTCCCTTCTTAAACCACCCCACGACACTTGTTTTCCCCGTTCTCACCACCCCAAGAAGCTTTTTTGCTCCTGTCTTCACCAACTCTGCAGTTCATTGGAACAAACTCAATACTTCGGTACATTTTCTCGTCTCACAACTTCCTCACCGAGATCACTTCTGACTTAACCTCTTGAGTCTTCCCCCGTTTCTGCACCGGCCCGATACTTTTGTTCCTTGACCCCCTCATCAACAATGGCAGAACAGCCAGTTGCTCTCGAGTCTCGGATCGGGAAGATATCTGAAGTTCCGGTTTGCACTGCTATTACTACCGAGAAAACATTTACCTCCACACCACCTCCAGCGGCGGTAGGTTCGGGTCTCAATGAGCCCGAATATGAAGTTGCTGTAAAGCTTGCCGACCTGCAAGGAGATCCTAATAGTCCCCTCTATTCCGTCAAGAGATTTGAAGACCTAGGACTGTAAGTGTAAACTCGTTTTACCCCCTAATCAGTTGGCGAGGTGATTGCACTTTGCAATTCATTCTTGTTCGTTTGCTTCGGGTTGATGTCCCGATTTATAATTATTCGCGGAGCTGACACTTGTATTATTTATTACAGTTCCAAGGAGCTTCTAGAGGGTATATATTTCATGAACTTTAAGAAGCCATCCAAGATCCAAGAGCGAGCACTTCCGCTCCTCTTATCAACCCCTCCAACAAATATGATTGGCCAATCACAATCAGGGACTGGGAAAACCGCCGCTTTCGTTTTGACAATGTTGACTCGTATTGACATGTCAGCCACCAATGTCCAAGCTGTCTGTTTGACTCCAACTCGGGAACTGGCGAGACAGATTATGAACGTTATCCAAACCATGGGTCAATTTACCAACGTCAAAACCCAGTTCGCTATCCCGAATATGGTCCAACGTGGCCAGAAGATTGATGCACATATTGTGGTGGGGACGCCCGGTACTGTTCTTGACCTGATTCGACGAAAGCAATTGCCTATAGAACATCTTAAGGTTTTTGTGCTTGACGAAGCCGATAATATGCTTGATCTACAAGGACTAGGAGAACAGTGTCTCCGTGTGAAAAGGTTAGATCCCGCCATTTATGGCTTATTTCTATAAGCTACTCCTGGGTGCCTGACGTTTTTTTTCATCTAGGAATATCCCCCAGACTACTCAGATCATCCTATTCTCAGCAACCTTTCCTAACCAGGTTGTTCAATACGCAAACCGATTTGCCCCAAATGCGAACCAGATTACCCTAAGACAGGAAGAACTTACGGTGGAGGGGATCAAGCAACTCTGGATGGACTGTGACAGCCAAGAGGACAAATATCGGATGTTGCTTGAGCTTTATCATATTTTAACAATTGGTTCTTCAATCATATTCGTGAAGGTAACGGACCCAATGATAATTGGATTTGGTAGGTGTGAAAACTGACCAGTTGACCTAGAAACGCGAAACAGCATCTGAGATTCAGAGGCGAATGGAAGCGGATGGGCACAAGGTTGCTGCGCTCCACGGTGCACAGGAAGGTGCAGATAGAGACAGGGTTATCGATGACTTCCGTTCCGGAAAAGCTAAAGTCCTTATTACTACAAACGTTTTGGCCCGCGGTATCGATGTAGCGACTGTCTCGATGGTGGTAAATTACGACATCCCACTTGATCAGAACGGTCGACCGGACCCCTTGACCTATCTTCACCGCATCGGACGGACTGGGAGATTCGGACGCGTGGGTGTGTCAATCACCTTTGTTCATGATGAGCAGACCCGCTCCGAGATGAATCAGATATCAAATTTCTTTAGTATCTCTATGACAAGGGTTCCAACCAACGACATAGACGTAAGCACCTTCAAGATTTCTAGAACAGGGTTCACAATACTAATTGATTGTTTGTAGGAGGCGGAGGAAATCGTCAATAGGGTTCTAAAGAGTAAGGCAGCTGGCGCAAAAAAATAGGGATACAGACGCATGTTCGTTGTAGATTTGTGGAACTAGGTTCACAACACTAATTGGTTATTTGTTGGAGGTTGAGAAAATCGTGAATGAAGATTTGCTAGAATTAGGGGTTGCCGTCTTGTTAATATTTATTGAGTATACCCGGGAGACGGGGTTCCTATGAATACAGAAGAGTTTGTGTCAGGTCAGAAAGTTTTGCTAGATCTCCTTTGCCCGTCGACAGGCTATCGCACCGACGACGTCAATTTGTAAATCTTACCACCAACGAAAGCGGTGCCATTTTTAAATTCACCATATCAAGCCAAAAAGGCCTTTATACTTACGACCATAGCTAACTATTTTATTACAACCCACGGGTGAGCCCAACGCAAATTTTTGATAAAGCGTGAGGGCCGTGAATCTTCACCAAGGGGATGTCGGGAACAATGGGAGTTATCCGGGCAGGATGGAGTGTTAAGAATTAGTCTCCTTGCGGTCATGGCTACTGAGATCCCTAATATATCCCAACCGTTACGATACTAGTCCCTGGAAATGCTTTGGACGTACAGCAGTCCCGCACTTCGGGCGGGAAAATGGCAATAAACGGTTACAATATCTCCGAGGGTGATTCGGTTGCGGTCAACCTAGAGGACATTGCTATTCTGCTGCCGATACCAGGTACTTCACTTCAGGCGCGGAGAACGGAATATGAATTTTAGGGATATGGTTCTATATAACCTTGTTCCATACAGAACGTGTGAAAAGATGGTGTACAAAAATCGTTTCTGCAGCGCCGGGGGTTACCCGGCTAACGAATACTGAGTACGATCACACACTGACGCTCTATAGGGGTTTCCTATGTAGCAACAGAAGATTTGAGGCCGCACATTTCATAGACGGTATGGGACGGTACATAAGGAACTCACTTGTGCTACATATCATGAGGTGGAGTCATTGCCAAAGGCATGATCCCAATCGCTGCATTCGGAGACAGGGTCATAATGACGAGACAACATTATCGATCCCCAAATTCGGCTAAGTCAACACTCAATTGGCAATAGCGATGCGTGATTACAGACCAATAGTAAGTTCGCTCCCTCAAAATATTAATGACCAACCTCGTGGAGCCAAGCCAGGATAGGCCTATTTAAGGAGCCATTCCATCATGTTCGTTTGCTTCCACCACCACCAACCCTCGAAGTTTGTTTGCTACAACATTCTCCCAAGGTTTGTATACTTCAACCTTCACCGAACCTAAAGTTAATCGGATTAATTCAATATTCCGATATCTTTATTCATCTCAACACTTCCTCTCGTTCATAACTCCACACTTGACCTTTGGAGTCTTCCCCCTTTCCTACATTGGACCTGTGATTTGGTTTCTTGACCTCATCAGCCATGAAGGAATACACGGTTTCTCGCAAGTCCCGCATGGGAAAGAAATCTAAAGGCCCGGTTGGTACTGCTATTGCTACCCATAAACGATCTCCCTCCACACCACCCCCTACAACCGGGGGCTCGGGTATGAATGAACCCAAATACGAGGTTGCCGTGAGGTTTGACGACCTACAAGGGGATCTATATAGTCCTTTCTATTCCGTCAAGAGATTTGAAGACCTTGGACTGTAAGTATAAACATGTTCCACCCCCGAATTATTTGACGGGGTGCTTTCACTTTGGAATTTATTCGTGTTTTCTTGCCCCGAGCTACTAGTCCTATTTATATTCAGCGCTGTGCTGACAACTGGCATTATTTTATTACAGTTCCAAGGATCTTCTTGAGGGCATTTATTTCATGAACTTTAAGAAGCCGTCCATGATCCAAGAGCGAGCACTTCCGCTCCTCTTATCAAACCCCCCCAGAAATATGATTGGTCAATCACAATCTGGGACTGGGAAAACCGCGGCCTTAGTTTTGACAATGTTGACTCGTATTGACATGTCCGTGAGCAATGTCGAAGCTCTATGTTTGGCTCCAACTCGGGAACTGGCCAAACAGATCCAAAGAGTTGTTCAAACCATGGGTCAATTCACCAACGTCAAAGCCCAGTTCGCTATCCCGAATATGGCCAAATGTAGTCAAAGGATTGATGCCCACATTGTCGTCGGAACACCCGGCACAGTTCTGGACTTGATTCAGCGAAATCAATTGGCTGTCGAACATCTTAAGCTTTTCATGCTCGACGAAGTGGATAATATGCTTGAGCTTCAAGGACTAGGCGAACAGTGTCTCCGTGTGAAAAGGTTAGATCCCACCTTCTGCGGATTATAACCACTAGCTGTTAATGAAGTCCTAATATCTTCGGTATCCAGGAATATACCCTCCACCACCCAGATCGCCCTATTCTCCGCAACTTGTTCCGATGAAGCATTTAAATACATGTACCGATTTGCCCCAAATGCCAATCGGATTATCCTAAAGAACACAGAACCTTCCCTGGCAGGGATCAAGCAACTCTGTATGGACTGTCAGAGTGAAGAGGACAAATATAGGGTGTTGCTGGAGCTCTATCATGTTTTGACTGTTGGGTCGTCGATAATTTTCGCCAAGGTAATGGAACCAATGATCGTTACATTTCTTAGGTGTGAAAACTGATCCGTTGACCAGAAGCGCGAAACAACCTCTGAGATACAGCGGCGAATAGAAGTAGACGAGCACAAAGTTGCCACACTCCACAGTGCACAAGACCGGCCAGACCGCGACAAGGCGGTCCATTCTTTCCTTTCCGGGAAAGCCAAAGTGCTCATTACCACAGATGTTTTGGTACGGGGGATCGATGTGGCTACCGTCTCGATGGTGGTCAATTACGACCTACCTCTAGACATGAACCGTCAACCCGACCCTGTGGCCTATCTTCACCGGGTTGGACGAACCGGAATATTCGGACGCCCGGGTCTGTCGGTTAACTTTGTCTATGACAAGCACAGCTTGCACCAAGTAACCGAGATATCTAGTTATTTTGGTACTTGCATGACAAGAGTCTCAACAAATAACACTGACGTATGTTCTTTCCAGACGTGTTGAACTGGGTTCACAATACTAATTGGTTATTGGTAGGAGGTTGAGATTATGGTGAATAATGTTCTGAAAAACAACAAAGCTGGTGCAGCCAAATTATAATAAAGTGGTCTGTTCCTTCCATTTTCCCAGAACTAGATTCATAATACTGATTTATTATTGGTAGGAGGTTTTAAAAATTGTTGTTGACGCTTTGTAGGAATTAATAGTAATATGTATTGATTCTTGGTTTACGTTTGTACTAGGTAGACGGAGTATATGAATAGTCAAGTGTTGTTGTGGGGTCACAAATCTTTTCCAAGACTCGCGTGTACATCGACCAGCCATCGCTTAGGCAAACTCTATCTGTAAATCCTACCTCCAAAAACAGTAAGGCCATTTTCCAACTTAAGATGTCAAGCCAAAAGAGAGTTTCAATACTTACAACCGCATTTATTTACCCAGTAAAACCAAGAGGCTTCCGCGTCATATAGGTGTAGTTATGTGAAACATGTTGTAATTCTTGATTGAAGTTGTACCTCTTGCTTGATCGATTCTCTACCGTGGGGCTACAGAGCCCTATTTATTCTACAGGAGAGCGCGCTACAATCACCGATGACATGCGCTTCGCGCAAGAGAAAAGGAGAAATAAATGACAACAACACTACATAATGTAGTAGTAAAGAGAAAGGAAACGCGAGCGAGGAAACAAAACTAGTACCACGATAGATAGTCAACCGCGTAATCAGCTCAATCGCGTAATGAACCAATATCAAAATATTATGTCGTAGTCAATGACAAAGCTGATGCATATTTGGAAGTCATATTACAACAAAACAGGTTCAACTTTGAAAATTCAACGAATATAATTAAATGCATATGAATCTTCTTTGGCATGTAGAGTATCCTTTGATTGACCTAAAAAACTATTCTCCAGAAAATTGAGTTTATTGTAGGCCAATAAAGTCCCATATTTTGAAATCTCTGTTTTTTTATTATTATTTAATAATAGTATCAATTAAATTAAATTCGTTGCGTTTTGAAAGTTGTACCTTTTTCGCATAACTACACCCATATGAATTCAATTATATTTGTTGCATTTTCGAGGTTGTACGTTTTTCGCATAACTACACCCATATGAATTCAATTATATTTGTTGTATTTTCGAGGTTATACGTTTTTCGCATAACTACACCCATATGATAAACTAGGAGGGCTATTATTCCCCTCCTCTGACAGCTTCTATGTACATACAAGACAAGAACTCGGGATTTTTAGTTCCGCCTGAGAGGAGAAGAAAACGAAGACAAAATCAATAGTCAACGAGAACTAAAAGGCGTTCAGATAAAAAATTCCAAACTTTTGTTATTCTCAAAAGTACTCCGTTCTCCCTCTTCCTCTATCGCAGCCCACAAGGATAGGATCCATTGCGGTTGCCCGCTTGCGCATGGCCAACACGTACCGCGACCCAGCCGCCCTAGCTCCATTAGAAAATAAAAATATAGAAAGGGATGAAGCAACGAATCGGGGCATAGGGTTCGAGAAGGTCTTCCGGATATAAAGGTTTTCAACTTCTTTCTCCTCATCTTCTGCTGCTTGTCTTTCCTCATCTTTAGTCATCGAACATCCTCCTTTAAATACAAAATTCCCTTCCTGTGACTCCGTCAGTCTTGATGACCCGATCATGCCTTTTCTCTGACAACTTGCACCATCCTTATAAGTTATTCTCCTGCCTCCCAAAGCACTAGTTTTCTCATCGCCTGCTTCACTGCTCTCGTCCTCGCTTTGCCAAGCATTATATCTAGCTTCTCAGTCCCAGTTTTACCGTGCCCAAAACTGACTCCTCGCCCCAATTCCTGATGGAAACTTCGGCCATCTTCTGAATCAAAAAGAAATGAGTGAAATACGCCGAGTGCATCCGGAAAAATGTCTGATAAAGTAGAATAGTTTGAGCGCCGGCGGTTAACAGCAATAAATACTGCAGAAGGCTAAAACCGCTTTGAAAACAATTCTTCTCAAGTTAAGAAAAAGGAACTTAAAGCCAGCAATATCTATCTCGAAACATCTTGGAATATCGAAAACCACCATCAATGAACTGGGGCCTTTCAAAAGAAAAATGCGAATGGTTTGCCACCAACTAAATGCCACATCGGCACCTCGATGGAGGGAACCTCCGGCCCCAGGCTTGAATCGACCTGATGGTTCACCTATCTCTGCACAACGCGTTTCATCACTCTCTCCATGTTCTGCAGCCACTTCTCAAAATATTTCGTCAACCCCTCGCTGTTCATGACCTTGGCCAGAAGCCTAACTTGCTGACTGGGCGAGTCGAGAACCAAAGCACCGCGCCAAACTGTATATGTCAATCTGGGGTAGAGCACAAGACCCATCGTGACTAGACCTCCCGTCCCAGATGCAATCGAGACAGAAGTCCAGAAATTGCGGGATGGTTGGTATGAAGACGGGGAAAAGTGATGGGTTGGTCCTTAGCAAATTTGATGTCGCCATCCGTAATCAGATATGACCCCCCATTAGACCCGCGCATCGACCGGGCAAATGGCGATAAATTGTTATAATATCTCCGAGGGTAATTCGGTTGCGGTCAGCTTAGGGGACATTGCTATTCTGCTGCCTATACCAGGTGCTTCACCGAAGGCACGTAGAACGGGATATGAATTTTATGGATCTAGTGGTATATTTCATGCTGCGATACATAACGTCTGGAAGGAAAGTGTACAGGGGGTGGCAAAAAGTAATGCGACACTCGTACAACACAAATCTCCTTGTATCAACATTCTCGACAACGTATGTACTATCTCATTCCACAACAACATTTAATAAATAAAATAAGTGAAGGAGATAAAATAAAATAGTCCTCAGTATTCCCTTGAAATAAAATAAAAAGAAAACCCTAGATCAATAATGAGTTTGGTGCCCTTTTCTTCCAATAACCTTCTGATCCTTTTTGGCATACTCCTGCAAAGACCCATAAACTTTCTATTAGGAATAGCTTCCCAAGCTTCCTCCACAGCTCTGATTAGCTCTTCTCTACTTGCAACTCTTCCATACCTTTTCCCCAAGGAAGTCTCCATATCTCCCCAGATATTCTCAATCAAGTTCAGATCTGGAGACTGTGGTGGCCAAGACAATATATCTACCTCATTTTTCTTTCTACACTTTGTAGAAAATCTGTAATTAAATTAGTAGTTGGATTATATTCTTAAGTAAGTAGTTCTATAATAATAAGACAGAAAATAAAATAATTATAAGATATATGAAAGAAGATAGAACTTACTTTTGATGCCCCAGTGTACTATCTTCAACAACATTTGTCCAAACAAATCTCTCACAACACTCATGCCAAAAAGAAATTAAAACTGGATCCAGTATACACTTAGTATACTCACAAGAATTCACTTTAATCTTTCCTGACACTACTACCAACTTTGACCTCAAATTTCAACAAAAGGCTCCCCATACCATAACAGTATCTCTTCCTGAATCCCAGACCTCATTCAGACAATCCTGATCATACTCTTCAGAAGGCTCTCTTATCACTCATCCTCGCTGTCCAAATTCAGCTGTAGAGAAAAAGGTTTCATCTGTCCATATGATTTTAGACCACTCTCTCACTTTCCAAGCTCTTTTTCTCATACACTAACCAAATCTAACTGGTATGTTTTTAGAGTGCAAACCCCATCTAAAATATATTTTAGCTTTGTAAAAATATAAATTTCTATTAGAAAACTTACTGCTTGCAAGGTTTTCTTCTATTTAAATTAATACTCTTAGCTGCCTTCCTGATTTTCCTAGATGAGGCCTTGAATCCCTTTCCTTCTTTTGTAACCAATATGGGTACTCGGTTATTAGTTTTGTTTTATGTTTTGTTTCAAGTATCGCTTTGATACTTGGTTTGTTTTAAGTATCGTTTGATACTTAGTTTTGTTTTATGTTTTGTTTTAAGTATCACTTTGATACTTGGTTTTTTTTAAGTATCGTTTGATACTTAGTTTTGTTTTATGTATTGTTTTAAGTATTGTTTTGATACTTGGTTTGTTTTACCAAAGAGTATCGCTTGATACCTTTGATTACCTTCGTTCATGCTAGACATGAACAAGATTTGTGTATTTAAAGACGGCCTGATCTCACAATGGAAAAGGTAGACTTCGACAGACAGTATTTCAATATACTTGGTTGAATAGTTATTTCTTTGTTTCTCAGTATACCTTCGAAGCTACCTTTAGTTCTCAGCTCTTGCCTTCTCTGTGGAAGAGCAGGCTACCTGCCAACTATCGTATCTATTACCAATAATGTGATTAGCACCTTGTGAACAAGTTACATCTTTAATATCTTCTCAAGATAGTCTTCTATTTCTTTTATTTTCTTTAATAAAAGACTTCAGATCTAGATCACACTCTTGAAAGATTGGAGGTCTTCCTGTTCACTGTTAGTTGGAATGACTACCAGTTTCTCTAGTAGTGGTGCTAGATGTGAGCACAACTACTATGGTGTACTTTGAGGCCAGTTTTTTCCTACAATTTAGCAGCTTTCTTTCTGAAAGACCATTCTGCTATTTCTCGTAGGGCGATAATTCAGACCCTGTCATCTTGGGTAGTTTCTTGCTCGAAGCATTGCTTCTTCTTCATCAACAATAGCCCTTGCTCAATGTTTCCTGGATTGATCGCTATTTTATTTTATCTTATCATTATCACCACTACCTCTGTACATTTATTTAATTAAACTACTTACCTTCACTTCAGCGGGTTCCTTTTACCCGCATATTGATTCTTGAGGAAGGTTTGGAGGGCTGTGAAGGATAGAGGTGATATCACAATAAGGGTGTTGGCAGTGCAGATGCGATCGTGGGGGATGCCATTGCAATTGTGTTGCACTACTTCCTTCCACCCCCTTGTACAAAAATGATTTTAGAGGAATGGGGGTTACCCGGCTAACGAATACTGAATACGATCACACACTGACGCTCTATGGGGGTTACCATTCTAGCAACAGAGGTTTTGAGGCCGCACATTTCATAGCCGGTATTGGACGGTAAGTACTGGGTTCACTCGCGATACCTATCATGAGGTGGAGTAATTGCCAAAGGCAAGATCCCAACCGTTGCTCGTGGAGACTATGTCACAATGATGAGGCAACATTATCGATCCCCAAATTCGGCTAAGTCAACACTCAATTGGCAATAGCGATGCGTGATTACAGACCAATCGTGAGTTCGCTCCCTCAAAATATTAATGACCAACCTCGTGGAGCCAAGCCAGGATAGGCCTATTTAATGTGCCATTCCATCATGTTCGTTTGCTTCCACCACCACCGAGCCTCGAAGTTTGTTTGCTACAACATTCTCCCAAGGTTTGTTTGCTTCAACCTTCACCGAACCTAAAGCCAATCGGATTAATTCAATATTCCGATATCTTTATTCATCTCAGCACTTACTCTCGTTCATAACTCCACACTTAACTTTTTGAGTCTTCCCTCTTTCCTACGTTAGACCGGTGATTTGGTTTCTTAACCTTATCAACCATGAAGGAATACCCGGTTTCTCGCAAGCCCCGCATGGGAAAGAAATCCAAAGGCCCGGTTGGTACTGGGATTTCTACCCATAAAAGATCTCCCTCCATACCACCCTTACAATGGGGGTCTCGGATGTCGATGAGCCCAAATACGAGGTTGCCGTGAGGTTTGACGACCTACAAGGGGATCTATATAGTCCTTTCTATTCCGTCAAGAGATTTGAAGATCTTGGACTGCAAGTATAAACATGTTCCACCCCCGAATAGAGATGGACACGATCATGCTCGATCATAAAATTTGTGTGATCGAGCCCATTCATACTCGAGCATGGACCCAAATTTTATGATCAAGCATGATTGTGTCCATCACTACCCCCGAATTATTTGACGGGGTGATTGCACTTTGGAATTTATTCGTGTTTTCTTGCTCCGAGCTACTTGTCCTATTTAAATTCCCGCACGGTGCTGACAACTTGCGTTATTTTATTACAGTTCCAAGGATCTTCTTGAGGGCATTTATTTCATGAACTTTAAGAAGCCGTCCATGATCCAAGAGCGAGCACTTCCGCTCCTCTTATCAAACCCGCCAGAAATATGATTGGTCAATCACAATCTGGGACTGGGGAAACCGCGGCCTTAGTTTTGACAATGTTGACTCGTATTGACATGTCCGTGAGCAATGTCGAAGCTCTATGTTTGGCTCCAACTCGGGAACTGGCCAAACGGATCCAAAGAGTTGTTCAAACCATGGGTCAATTCACCAACGTCAAAGCCCAGTTCGCTATCCCGAATTTGGTCAAACGTGGTGAGAAGATTGATGCACATATTGTCGTCGGAACACCTAGCACGGTTCTAGACTTGATTCAGCGAAAGCAATTAGCTGTAGAACTTCTTAAGGTTTTTATGCTCGACGAAGTGGATAATATGCTTGATCTTCAAGGACTAGGCGAACAGTGTCTCCGTGTGAAAAGGTTTGATCCCACCTTTTATAGATTATAACCACTTGTTGGTGATCAAGCCCTAATATCTTCGGTATCCAGAAATATACCCTCCACCACCCAGATCGCCCTATTCTCCGCAACCTGTTCCGATCGGGTTTTTAAATACATGTACCGATTCGCCCCCAATGCGAATCGGATTACCTCAAAGAACACACAGCCTTCCCTGGCCGGGATTAAGCAACTCTGTATGTACTGTCGGAGCGAAGAGGACAAATATAGGGTGTTGCTGGATCTCTATCATGTTTTGACAGTTGGGTCGTCAATTATTTTTTCCAAGGTAATGGAACCCATGATCGTTACATTTCTTAGGTGTGAAAACTGATCCGTGGACCAGAAGCGCGAAACGGCCTCTGAGATTCAGAGGCGAATGGAACTGGATGGGCACAAAGTTGCCACACTCCACAGCGCACAAGAAGGGCCAGACCACGACAAGGCGGTCCATGCTTTCCGTTCCGGGAAAGCCAAAGTCCTCATTACCACCGATGCTTTCGCCCGCGGAATCGATTTGGAAACGGTCTCGATGGTGGTCAATTACGACCTACCTCTTGACCAGAACCGCCGGCCCGACCCAGTCGCCTATCTTCACCGCGTTGCACGAACCGGAATATTCGGACGCCCGGGTTTGTCGGTTAACTTTGTCCATGACCATGAAAGCTTGTACCAAGTAAACGAGATATCTACTCACTTTGGTACTTGCATGACAAGAGTCTCAACCAATGGTCTTGACGTATGTTCCTTCTAGATATTTTGAACTGGGTTCACAATACTAATTGGTTATTGGTAGGAGGTTGAGATTATGGTCAATGATGTTCTGAAGAACAAAAAGGTTGGTGCAACCAAACTATCATAAAGGGGTATGTTCCTTCCATTTTCCCAGAACTAGATTCACATTACTGATTGATTATTGGTAGGAGGTTGAAAGATTCGTTGTTGAAGCGTTATAGAAACTAATAGTATTGTGTATTGATTGTTCGTTAACGTTTGTACTCTGTAGACTAAGTTTATATGAATAGTCAAGTGCTGGTGGGGGTTATAAATCTTTTCCAAGACTAGTGTGCCCATCGACAAGCCATCGCTTGGACAAACTCTATCCGTAGATCCTACCTCCAAGGACAGTAGGGCCATTTCCAAACGTATCGTGCAAAGCCACAAGAGTTGCAACAATTATAACCGTAGTTAGTTACCCCATTACAACCCTGAGGCTACGGCGTCATGTGATATATAGGGAGGGCCATTAACCTATTCCCCCCCTCCGACAGCTTCTATGTATATACAGGACAACAACTCCGGATTTTTAATTCCGTATGAGGGAAGAAACAGATGAAGAAGAAAATAGTCAACGAGAACAAAAAGGCTTTGCAGATAAAGAATTCCAACAATTGGTTATTCTCAATAGTACTCCGTTCTCCCACTCCCTTATCGTAGCCTATAAGGTTCTATGGCTTTTGCCGTCCGCGCAACATGGCAAACACGTATGATACCACTACCTAGCCGCACCAGCTCCCCCTTAAGTAAGAAATATAGAAAAGGATGAGGCAAAGAATCGATGTAAAAGATTCTAGAGTTTGCCGGATATAAAAATTTTGAACTTCTTCTTCATATTCCGTTGCTCGTCGTTCCTCACCATTAGCCATCGAACATCCTCAGTTAAATACCAAATGCCCTTTCTATGGCTCCAACAGTCTTGATAACACGATCATGCCTTTTCTCTAACAACTCGCATCACCATCCTTACCAATTATTCCACTACCTCCCACAGCACCCGCTTTCTCACCGCCTGCTTCACCGCTTTCTTCCCCGCTTTGCCAAGTATTATATCCCGCTTCTCAGACCCACCTTTACCGTGCCCAAAGCTCACTGCTCGCACCAATTCCTGATGGAAACTTTGGTCATCTTCTGAATAAAAAACAAACGAATAAAATACGCCCAGTGCATCGGGAAAAATGGCTGATAAAGAAGAATAGTTTGAGCTCCGGCGGTTATCAGCAATAAATACTGCAGAAGGCAAAAACCACTATAAAAGCAATTCCTCTAAGGTTAAGAAAAAGGAACGGAAAGCCACCAATAGCTATCGCAAAACATCGCGGGATATCAAAAACCACCATCAATGAACTGGGGCCATCCAAAAAAAAAAAAGTATGCGAATAGTTTGCCACTAACTAAATCTCACAGCGGCACCTCGACGGAGGGAACCCCCGGCCCCGGGCTTGGATCGACCTGATGTTTCATCTGTCTCTCCATAACCCGTTTCATCCCTCTCTCTTGGTTCTGCCGCCGCTTCTCAAAATATTGCGTCAAATCCTCGCGGTTCGTGACCTTGGCCAGAAGTTTAGCTTGCTGATCGGGTGAGTCGAGAAGCAAGTACCGCGCCAAATTGTCCATGTCGATCTGCGGTAGAGCACAAGACCCATCGTCACTAGACCTCCCGTCCCCGATGCAATCGAGGCAGGAGTCCAGAAATTGCGGGATGGTCGGTATGAAGATGGGGAAAGTGATGGGCTGGTCCCCAGCAAACTTGATATTGCCATCCGTAATTAGATATGGCCTGACACTCCTGTCCGAGCTGTCGGGGTGAAATTCCGACTCCACCAGTACGCTGTTGCGGTTAACGACATGCGGGACTTGTATTTTCTTCGTATCGACCGCCAGGCTGCAGGAGTCCTCGTCGCAGAGGCTAAGGAACCAGTTATCATCGGACCTCTTTAATTTCCGCGCGGACCGATGCTCAACCGCGTGGAATTCCAAATCGAGCTCGTCCGTGCCGGATTCGTCGACCTCTCGCCACTCACCGGTCTGGATAAAGGCTTGGTGTATCGAGACCAGTTGAGTCGTTCGCACAAGGATATCAATGGTCTGATAAGAAAAGGTTAGCCACGGGAACTAGATTACCGGGACGGTAGGGAGCGGGTCATATACATACATATCCGGTGTAGGCTGGAACCCCCATCCACCTTAGCGCATATTTTCCCACCATGACGAACGGGTGGTCGTGCGAGTTCAGAACCGAAAAAACAGAGTTGAGCGAAGCGGGACTTTGTGACCAAGCTCGAGCCATTCCGCTGTAAAATAAAGATCGGTGTTCTTGGTGATGACGGGATTTGAAAATTTTGATAGCCAAAGATCTAGTAGTTATATAGTGGTGGTAGCGCGGTAGCGGTGCGATAGCGGTGTCGGGGGTGATGTGGTATCAGACTAGAAGTGATGTCCGGATAAGGTAAATAAACGGCTACGAGGCTGACCAGGGCGACTTAGCCGCACATCAATCTGGCTAACCGCGGTCGCGCGGTAAGGTAAAATGCCTCCCCAAATAACGGCAATATCATAGTGGAACCGGCCCCGGTCGGGTATTCTGTCTTTGCCGCCCGGTTCTATGCGCCTCTTAAAATCTTTATTATGGATAGACATTCGAGCTTTCTATAGCGCTCATCAGAAATCTAATTTTTTTTTCAAATTCTATGCTCTCCGACCGTCAACATTATTGAAGAAAAAAGATCTGTTTATTATTACCCCTTATCTTCTCCATAAGGGGAATGTTTTTTTTTTTCAACCATAACGTTGCCATGCAGGACGTGCGGAACCCGAAAATTCAATTTCTGATGCCTCTTCTGCACCGCTTGAACCATGTATCAGCGTGACGGGAAAAAAAAAAGAATATTATCCCAGGTCCATAAGGTGTGATAACGAAGCTATACCTCGCGCTATTAGGCGCGAATACTAGAGAAGATCCAGGCTGTCCAGCTAGCCAGTGGAGGATGTTTCCCAATGTAGACGCGAGATCTCGGGAAGGGAAATGTAAAGCCGACACCGACGCGATAGGACTCAAGCCGGAACTCTGTTGGGCGAGAAGATATCGGGTTTGAGGGAACAGCCTCGCGCTGAGACGAATGCGAGAACCGCATCCTCTCGGAAACCACCGAAGTGCGGGTCAGTGGTGGCCCCCGGCATACCAGCTCTGTGACTGTCTCTGGGGGGGTATTAGTGCGTGCGGGATCTCCTGGCTAGGTGGATATCATATCATGCCATCGGATTCTACTGTATCTGCTTTTAGGGCCCGTTCGGAAACCTGCAAGTGCGTCCCATATAAAAGCGCTTGTTCTTCCGTGATGAAAAAAGCCATTTGTGTTTGGCAATGGGACACACCGGTTGTGCCCAAACAGTCTCTTATATGCAGCAAGTAATTACCCATATGTGAAACACATAGTGCAAGAGGTCCTGGAAACAACTGATGGAGGAAAGAATATACATTGTAGCCGCTTAAAAACTCTTGACGTAATGCTCAGGGGGAAATAATTCTCACCAGGATGCAGGCATAATCTTAAAAGCCTGCGCACACTCATGAGTATTGCTTTGCGCTGTTGAAAATGGTTTAGCATTTGTTTCTTCTCATCGGTGGCCTATGAAACTATTTTTCAACATCACCGAACACTTAGTTCATTGGGGAAGAAAGGAAAATGAACCCCCATTAATAAAGTGGTAATCTTGGCGAAGACTGATAGACTGTTTGAAGGAACTTTGATGGTCGAAGTTGTGTTGATAAGAATCAATAGAGTGGTATGGCTGATCGGGAAACACTAGCAGGTGCAAAGAATTTCCCCTACTTAGTGAATTGTATTGTTGAGTCGGCACTTTTGTTCTGGAATCATGTCTTGTTCAATTCTCCATGCTCCCTCAGCGCGGCCAACCTGAATCTTCCTGATCTCTCTCTCTCCGTTTTCTTTCCCTTCCAGCGTTGTTAGCCCGAATACCATTGGCTTTAGTGACGCCTTCCCCCTACCCAAGCAACCCGAATGTTCTCCATGGCTTTTATAGATGTCTTCGGTATAAAAAGCTTTTGAACTTCTTCCTTTTTATCTTCCACTGCTTGTCCTACTTTATCTCTAAATACAAAGGACGATATCGTGCCATTTTTCTAACAACTCGCAGTACCATCCATATCAGTTATTCTCCTGCTTTCAACACCACCACTCTGCCCACCGTTTGCCCCACCGCTCTCTTCACCGCTTTCCCAAATATTATACACCGCTTCTTAGTACCAATTTTACCAAGTTCAAAACTCCTGGTCCCTGGTGGAAATTTCGGGCATCTTCCATATTTGACAAAGTAGAATAGTTTGAGCACCGTGATCAACCAACAGCTTGTCCACCGTAACAGCACTCCAGCCCCCTGCCCCCGCCCTCCTTCCTAACGAGTGCCTCCTCAACTGTCTTGTCAGAGCAACCCCTCAACACACCTAGGTAGATGCGCCCGAACGATCTCCTCGCGTTTGACGAGGTAATTCTTAGCCAGCATGCAAATCGCGCGAATTTCCCCCGCCTCTTGCTCATTAGGGGCGATTTCTTGTCTCAGAAATGTGGTAATGATGCGTGCGTGAATCATGCCATAGAGCCACTCCTCGGTTGTAACCATTCCAGGTCTCGTCACAGCGGGACCCGTATATGGCCTCGAGTCGGGCTCCTGGCCGGTATAGTCCAACCCGACTCACGGAAGCATTTTCAGGGACGTCCGGGCCGGACTAAGGTGAACAGGCTATTTAGATGAAAATCAAGCCCGGCTTGCCACTAGTCAACCCCAACGGCCGGTATAGTCCATCCGGGACCAAGGGGGGGCTTTTTCGGGGACGTCCCGGCTGTGCCGAGGAGAATAGACTTTCTAGTGGAAAATCGAGCCTGGATTGCCCTAGTGAACCCAAGCGGTCGGTATCGTATAGTCCGGCCGGACTCATGGTGGCTTTTCCAAGGACGTCCTGGCCGG